TTTCCCTAACAATGCATTGCAATGCACTATCTGCTGTAAAGACAGCAGTTAACACACAGTGAAATGATGTACTGCAGTGAAATCACATCGCATCCTAGTTCATTTTATTAACTTTGCTAGCTTTCCTGACAGAACACTATTTAACACTATTATGAAGATTCATGCTACCAATATAATTAAGGAGAAAACATTCATCAAAACTTACTATTTTGCTCTATTTTTTCAATTGTTGAACATAAATGTTATTTTCAAAATCAAAGATTTTGTTATAAAGTCATCTTAGAAATCTTTACAATTTTACAAACTATGAAAATATACTTGGAAGCCCTCTTCAGGAAGTGTTATGTTTACGGAACACTCACTGTAGTAGATTGACTCTCCAGTAGGCTAACTCTCCAGTGTAAGTGAAAGACTAATCTTGCTCAGACTAATAACACTCAAGCTGTATGACATCCAGCCATGTCGATAGTGACAGGATCTCAACAGACAGGATTAGTAATGATAGCAGTAATGGCATATAGATAAACTGATGGTACGCTACCAGCAAAACCAGCAAGACCAGACACGACTGGACTCTTCAAAAGTAGGCAACAATAGTATTATTTCTAAACATGCAAAATTGTCATGCACACAAAACTAAACACACTTAGGGACAATGCTCAGTACCAAATTTTTTAAACTTCAGGAAAAATTAAATGCAGAGTGCCTATGCAGCTGATACCAGCTCCTAATCAAATGTGGTAGACTCAAAATCAACTCTTCAGTAATGTAAATTATCCTTTTGAAAGTCTTTTTTGGAACCTTTTTAAGTTAATGTGTGAAGTTTTGCAGAAAATGTGTCACTTTTTCTTTGAACAAGTCTTTCTTTCATGGTACAGCACCATAAGGTAAATTATCTTTGAGGAACATAAAGCACACTCAAGTCACTCCTTTCTTTTGAATGTAGGACATCTGAAAATTGATGGAAATTTTATTGGCCTTGGGTCATAATGTTTAACAGGTTTATCTAATTTCATTCCAGAGCATTTACATAGTCATATAATTTTTTTTTCTTTCTAATCATAATCATCCTTTCACTTATTATTCTTAAGCCTAGCAAAGTACAAGGAAAGGAGAGTTAGATTTCTGCACCCAAAACTTCAAGAAGCAAATGCAATATATTTCTTGGGAATAAGCAATGTGAACTTACAAACACATGAAGGTCACTTTGAGAAGTTAGTTAAAATTAGAGCCAAAAGCTAGTCCTGTTAGATTAAGTTAGACCAGTTTTTTGAAATGCTGGCCTTAGATTTTTATAATTTCTGCAGATCAGAAAATGCAAATATGTCATAGAAAGATTAAAAAAAAAATTAAAAATCACCATAATCTTATCTGGAAAGATATAACAGCAATGGAAGAAGAATAATCAGTTATGTCTGCTTATGAAAGTATTTAGAAGGAAAAAAAAATTCAAAATCTGCCTATGGTCAACTTTTTCTGACTTTGTGTCACATTTACTTTGAATAAATTTTGCTTTTTTATTATAAACTAGCAAGACAAACATTTGTTATTTACTGTCATAGTGAGGTAGAACTGCCACAGGCAAACCTACTAGACATGTGTCTTAAGAAAATACAAGAATGGGGCTGTTGGGCAAAAAGAAAGAAAGGAAGGAAGGAAGGACTGGAATCCTTTATATTCTGGAAAATCAGAAGAAACATAATTTTATCATAATGACAGTTGTCATTAGTATTTTGTGTCTTCTCAAGGAAGTTCAATATTTTCTTGATACAATGGCAAAGACTGTTAAATAGATACATTTTTCCCCACTTCAGAAGCATTTTTCAGGACTTTTCTTTATCTTAAGTACATACAGCGTGGCTTTTTCCTAACTACAGAGTATATTTAGTATACATACAATGGCAATCCCTGCCTAGTCTTTAAATGCAAGTTGTACCATGCTTCAGCTGTAAGATATGAAAAAAACCTAGAGCAGATTGCTATGCAAATTAAGTTCAAATGGAATTTGTCATTGCTGTAATCCCTCAAGCATTTGTACTCACCTGCAGGTAAATATTTCAGCTGGTTGTTAGCCAAGCGAAGATGACGCAAAGATCTCAGTCGGCCAATCTCTGGACACACAATTTCGAGGGCATTATCACTTAGGTCCAGAAATTGCAGTTTAACGAGGGAGCCAATGGCTTGTGAGAGAACAGATTAAAAAATGAACGTGACCCAACAGTAATGTTAAAATCTTAATAGGACTATGAGAGGATAAAAAGCCACAGTACCTAACACCTATGTCTGAGCAGATTTTGATGTATTAAAGCTGGTCTCACAACTGAATGACACAGTTTGTGGAAAGGTTTATCTATCTAACAAACAGTACTGCTGGCAGTAAGACAGGAAGGGAAAAAAAAGTGATGTACAGAATACTTCCATTTCTAGATTCTCCTTAGACGATTCTGCTCTGAAATCACTTTTTCCATTCCTTTGCCTTGAGTCTATCCAATTTCTGTATTCAGAAAGAGTTTAAAATACTTTCCTGAAATTGGGCACATAACTCTACAATTAAGGCAAGGAAGAGAAACTAGTATAAATTCTTGATACTTTAGGTTTCAAATCTGTCATGATCTAAACCAGCAGAGTATTCTGTGTGGTAACTGGCTGAAAGCAGAAGACACTCTGGATTTTTGTTTCTGTAGATGAGTGCCATTTAGCCTTTTCACTTTCTGCAATTATAACTGAAGCAAACAGCATTTAGGTGCATTTGAGAATTCATTAAAATAATTTAACATAGCATAAACAAGGATATTAGCAACTAAGGACTAAGAGCTACACTGGTATATTTTACATGAAAATCTTTAATGTTTTATGGGAAAATAAAGGAAAAATAGGCCTCTTCAAAGAAGAAAAATAAATATTTTATGACCCCTGCCACTTATTGTGAGCTGGTAGATTACTTACCTTCAGGTACAACAACTATGTTATTTGAATGAAGGTACCTGGGGGGAGGAGAAAAAAGCAGAGGACACCACCTGTTACCCTCAAGGACTTCTGCTACACAATCAGTTTGCAAAATATCCAATTTCAGACTGAAAGAGCACCCTCAAAGCTATTCCTCTCTATGACCACAAAAGCTGTGGAAACTGTATAAACTGGCAATGGATAGGTACTTAAGTTTCACTTAGACTATTAAATGATTAATATAAAAATAAAAGAGAATGACATACAATCATTTAAAACAAAACATTCAGAATTACAATAATACTGGGCTCTAGCTTTGATAGTCATAAAAAGAAAACAAAAAGGAAAAAGAATAAAAGTAGATAGAATAACCAAAATGAACCATATTTGATGACCAGGTTATTCCACACTAAATACTGGATAAGAAAACAAGCCCAAACCCACACAAGTTACACAATTACGAACATTTTCCCCTGCACATAAAAACTCTTACACCTTTACTGACTGAAGAAACAAGCACATGATCTACTTGTTGCAAGTGGGTTTTTCAAACCTAGAGTACATTTTTCAAAAGAAAAACTCAGTCTTGCACGTGGTCATTTAGGTAGTTACTGAGGGTGACCAGATCTCTCACTGAGAATATTCAGCATCCTCTGCTGGGCACTTCCAGTACTACCAGTAACATAAAAACTATTTTTAAATTTTATGCATTTTAATTTTCAATCAATATTGCTGCAAATGAACAAACAGGTCTTGTAGGAAATAACAGTAACAACATTTTCAAATATTGATATTTAATTGTAAAGTTATACTGAGTACTCTATGTCCAGTTGCTTAGGCACACATGGAAATTATTTCCACATTGTGTGTTTTTTCTCCCATTCTATTAAAATAGTATTTCCAAAAGTAGGAGCCTGTCTTTTCAGGGAGATACAGGCACAACAAGGAAAAAGATGTATGAACATTTCAACTGCATGGAGCATCTGAGCCTTCTCTTTTTCTTTAAAAACTGCAGACATTTAACGTTTACTAAAAATGTAACAAACATAAGGATAGCAGATATGCTTGTAGATATCCTTATATATACCTCAGGATGAGAATTCTCCTACTCATTTCAGCTGCAGCCCCTGAAAACACTTGTAAACTATTTAACTCAAACTAAAAAAAAAAAACGTATATTATGAGGATCTACACCTAGCATCCCAGCATGAGGGACACGATGTACAAAGAAACACAGACAAAAGTGAAAATTTTAAAAATAGTGAAATTTCTAAGGATGTAACTTTCAGGAAAATGAAAATCAGTTAAGTTTGTCTTTCAAAATTTAAAGCTATTATAACAAATTATTCTTTAAATATATCTTTATTTTGTGGTCTCTGTCAACATAACATCTCTCGCTGTCTGATCAAAAATTCACTCGTACTATTAGAGCTACAGAAATCACAGTCCTGCTGCATTTCTCTCTATGTGAGATAATGATGGTACAACTAAAGCTTGCTGAACCCCAAATAATTAGGTTTGTAAGAGATTATTTTAAGCTGTAATTTATACAGGTTTTCGTAAAGGCACTATCAGATAACATGAAGATTTCCTGATGCCCCATGGCAAATCATTAACTACTAAGTATATCAAATACAAAAATATTTATTTTACTGCTTCATAGCATAAACATACTCTCAAGACTTAGGCATGATGAAACAAGACTGTCTCTTAAGCAAGTCAGAGACTGCAGTGACCTACAAAACAGTTCAATTATACTGTGGTCGCGTGTACCAGAAAGGTGTGGTTTCAAGGGCCAAATTAAGATGACAAGATCAGACAGCTGAATGCATTAGACTACTCAGATATACACCTCCTCCTGTTTGGAGCTTTCCATTAAATAAACAGAATCAATGGTCCATCACTTACTCAACTGAGAGCGAGCCAAATGAGTTATAAGGGGAAAAGAGGATGTCCCTTTTAACCCCTCTGCTGCCAATCCTACCATACAAGGAAATCATAACCTCACAAGAAGAAAATGGGAGGGAAGAAAACATTGACTCAGGGGCTTACAGCTTAAAATTAATTGGCAAAATAATACAGATCCTGTGACATCCATTCTTTGGACAAGACTGGATAAACTACTCTGCCTACAGCAATCACCTTTAGTTACTACCCCTACTTGCTCATTAATGCTCCTATTTGACAATCTGTTATTTGGTTCCAAAAGAACTTACTCTACAATCAGCAAGACTAAGATCTTAATACTCCTGGTAGCTGAGATGAGCAACTAGGGATGGGCTGGAGGCAGTAACCTGTTACTCTGGGTCTGTCACAACCATTTGACCATTGCATTTGGAGGTTCCTGTGCTTTATCAGGATGACAACAGTCTACACAGGAGTTGGGGTAAGTAATTTTTTCCCTTAGCAGTGTAAACATTTGTATAACAGTTCTTGTTATACAATAAACAAGAAATTGTAAAAAAATATTAACATCTGGATATATCTCCTTTAAAAAAAAAAAAAGAAAAAGAAAAACCCAACAAAAAATAACCCTTTCTTGCCCTCCTAGAAAACCCTTCACACTTAAGAGGTAGATTATGTGCAAGCAATACATTCTAAAATTATTTTAAGAGAAGATGGATCAGCATAAAAAATATATATTAGAACTCCTACACAAACTCACAATTCCACGAGGTTTGGAAGCTTCTGTGCAAGGTTTTCTGGCTGAAAAAGAGTTAGAGATTTTTTAGGTTTCAAAACAAAAACCAGACACACACATATTGTGTACCCAACTCATTTTAATAACCATACTAAAACATGTCAGCAGCTAGTCACGGGAAAAAAAAAAAGGCAACACAGAGTTTGTATACAATACCCTACTTCCACATCCCCGCACGTTCTCCATCAGTGCAATCTGGGATATATCAAGGGTGAGCAATTCACTACTGAAACAGAACTACAACCTAGAAGTAATATCAAACGTGTCCTCAACCAAATGGTAGTCAGACTTCTGAGGCTGAAAAGATGGATTACCAAAACCTTACTTTTGAAAATATATTCACATAATTGAGTTAGTTGAAGCCAAGAGACTGCTAGGAAGCTGCAGCCTTTACAGACTTAAAGCAGAACAAGAACTATACAAGATGTCTAACTGTAATATATTTTATTTTGTAATACTTCTAAACTGGGAAATGACCTACAAACTTTGTGTAGCTTAATTACCACCAAGCCAGAAGTGCTGAATCCATACAACTAGATTTCCATATTTACATGCATATCATTTTCTAACTGCTAACTGATACCTAGCTGCAATTCTGTTTCTTGATGGCATTTATAACTGTGAACATATATCACAAAACCAGCTTCATAAGTTTCAGATGTCATGTTGGTATTGTAATCAAAATTATTATCAAGGTTAAGACAGTTTTATTGCTTAAGAAACCTACTTTAAACATAGATATGTTTTATTGAAAAAAGTTTTTACAATACATATATATGCAGAAACAAATTAATTTTAAAAGCAGCTCGATCACATGGTCAATTTCCTATTAAAAAAAAAAAAAAACCTAGCAGTTTTCACTGCCCAGTAAATTTAAGGTATATTATTATAATCTAAAATACTTAACTTTGTGTTTATAAATTTATTATGAAGGACTATGCTAACCTGACAAAGTAACGTCATAATATCCTTATGTAGCAAACATGCCACACCCTAGATCTGAGTACAAAAAATAGTTTGCTTTTAACTATACAGCAGCAAATGATGTCTCAAGAAATGAATCCGTTGACGTCAAGACCCAAGAAACAGACTATAACTTATCAACTGTTGCCACCTACTGGAAAGTTTGCTACAGTACAGTCATCTTCTCGGCACAAAATTTTATTTAGTCAGAGAAAAGCTTAAGCTGGGAGAAAATATAAAAAGGCTGCAACATGCTCAAGCACAAAAAATTCAAGCTTTAATTTAAAAAACATAGAGGCAATGTGAAGAAAAACCCACCAACCCACCCTCACTGTCATCCTACACTCTTTATTAGAATAAAGATACTGACCTGAATCAAACTATTTTCACATTGTACATGAAAGTTATACTCTTACTCTTGCTCTAACAGTTTCATATTGTAAGAGCACGAAACTTAGAAGAGAGACAATTTTACAGTTTAGCAAGTCTATAATAGAAATTCTGCTTATCTTCTCCAGTACCACAGAAACAATGGGTCTGAGTTATAGTTGCTCAATACAACGTCCTACAATGAAATTAAGATTAAAACAACCTATTCATGATCCATCAATTTAGAGGTAAAACTAACTCTGGTCTCTCTTGGTGACATGACAGCAAATGATGATAAATGAATCATCAATTCTGCCACCAGTTTAGTGAAGCTTGCCTCACCATCACACCCACTGGACATTTTTCAAAAAGTGAACCTGCTGATCTGTCTGAACAAGACAGCATTGTGTATTCTGAGTTAGTAAATTAAGAACAATTGTTCTTTGATATGGCTAAATCACGCTTCTGACAGTGCCATCCAGGCAAACTCATTTTTCCTTTTAGTAGATGGGAAGACAGGATTGCCGGAAGACTAATGTTATCAGTCAAACATCAAATGAGAAGAAGTTGGAATACTTGATACTGGGATACAGATGTGCTGTATAGCTTCTTGATCCATTCATTCATTATGTTATAGCCCTCTATCATTTCCATCTTGCCAATGGCAACAAAAATGAAATTGTTCTTAGGCAAGGTATGTGTGATTCCTGTCAGTGTAACTATTCCAGACATTTTCATAGCAGTCATCTGACAAGGACTAGAGTAATTTTAGAAGAGCAAAGAACAAAAGCTGATTTAGTCAACATTTTTCAGAACTCTGAAGGAATGAACTGGTGGGATGAAAGTAACACCTTATTTGAAAGGAATGTGGCACAGATTTAGTCTTGATGATTGCTAATAATCCATATGCAATTTAAAGTAGTTATTGATGAGCTAATGCTCATCATCTTGGCATAGAATCAAAGGAGCACAAGGCTAAAAAGAGACATTAAAACTACTCTTCTCAGACAGGATCACCCCTCAAAGAAATTGGTACATTTTCTCTTTCAAAAAGTCTCAGTGAAAGGAATACAGCTTCCTTCAATAACCTATTTGTTTTCAACTATTGTCAGATAAGATTCCCTCCCTTATCCACTCCCCCCCATAACTAACTTACACTTCTTTACTGAAATTGAGAGTATCACTTGTCCTACCAGGAAGAAAAAAAAAAAATATTGCTTTGTAAAAACACTGATGCTTTCTGCTCTCTCCCATTCCTCCCATTCTATTTTTTTTCTTCTCTGTCTTCTCTTTTTGCAAGCAGAATTAACCTAAATCTCTCAACCTTCACTCATAGGGCACGTTCTCTGAAAATCCCTTGCTGTCGCTTTCTAGGTTCTTTCCAATTTACCTAGGTTGTTCATAAGTATGAAACCCCAGACTCAATCTTTGCTCCAGCTTATGCTTTAACAGTATCCAATAATTATTCCCTTCTGCTTTTAATGGAGATTGTGAAACTTTCTATGTTCCAAAAAGACATCTGCCTTTTTTGTAGCATGCTGCTAACTGGATCTATTTTTGTCCACAACAACTTCCAACATCTATTCTGCTGAACAGATGCTCAGTGAATTAGACCCAATTTTATTCGCCTAGGTCCTAGCTACAGTGCTATGCACTTGAATGAGATTCCACCAAGACATATTATGAGCAAGTCATCCTGATTGTTTTGAATCCTAATGCTCTACTGCATGCTGTTTGCAAGTTATTTTGCCTAGGTACGATCTACATTTTAAGTGTTGTTTCAGTTCCTTTAATCCAGGCCTCAATTACAATACTGAACAATATTGAATGAGAGCTGCCTCCCTCATTTGGTATATCTTTTGTTGACAACAACCATGGGTAATTACTCTTATGCCATCTTACACATCTATTAACAGTATTAAGAGGAAAATGGAACTAAACTGTTACTTGTGAGACTTTGTTTTGGTTTCTATTTTATAATTAAGAAAAACAAAACCAGGCTCTAACACATACATGCAGAAAAGTGATATGCAAAACTCTCATTATTGTTTCATCTTTGGAGTAGTACAGACTTCATGAACCTCACACCACTAAAAAAAAAAAAAAATCACTGAATTTCACAGTGTCAAAACAGAACTGTTTACAGCCTTCAGTTAATTTTTAAAGCAGCTTTAATTTGTAATCATGAATCCTATTCTCCCGTTAAATTATTAAGCAAAAGACTTGTCCAAAATGAAAACGTGCCAAAATAGTTCTCTACAGTACATGCAAACTTAAGTGATTCATTCAAGATGACAGAAAACAATAAAATCTTCAGAATCCTTTCAGCTTTGGGCCCAAGAAGTGAAACCTTTATTGAGGAATTCTGATGTATCATTGTCAAAGCTTTGAACAGTATTCCTTAAACTGGAGTACTGGACTCTTTCTAGGAAGCACTGAAAAATGTAATTTTGGTGAATTTTAAGTAGTCAAACCCTTCAGCTCCTCTGCCCTGGCTATTATTTTGCATATCATACCATGGAAGACCCCAAGGGAAAAAAACCTGAATTACTTGGAAACTTAGGCCAATTGACCGTTGCAACTTTTGACTCTATTGAGAGATTCTTACCAGCTCAGAGTATCTCACATATTTATTTAACTAGTACACACTGAATTCTGAGGTCACAACATTCATTCAGCGTGAGAATTTGTCCAGTTCAGGGAAAAACAACAAAACAAAAAAACCCACAACAGAAAATCCCACAACCCTGAAATTAACTGTTTGTTCTCCTATTAATAGCAGACCATAGACACAAGTTTTCGCTGACACCTTAATAGCAAGCTTTGAATTATACCCTGGGATTGACAATGCCTATAAAATAAGGCACACACCAAAGTAAAAGTTGTTTAGCCTAATGAAGGAATGTAGACTTGCATAGTATCCCCTAACAGTAGAAAGGCCTGACCACTGACATGAGCAAAATTTATAGCAGTTAAAAAAAAAAACAAAACAAAACAACAAACCTCACAAGAAAACGCCCAGCAGATCTTCACAGAGCTTCAAATGGGTAGCCATAAAATGTCATAAACTCTCATTTATTATACTCTACATTACCTATGCAAGTTCAAACATAATACAACCAAATACTCATATTTCACAATGGATGACATCATTCAAGATCAGATTTGCTATAAGATTATTTTTTTTAATTATCTTGTTTTTTCTGTTCCAAAAATCAGAATTCCTAAACATACAGACAGTAAACGTTACAATAAAGAGGTTGTCGTACCAATGTGGTCAGGGAATTTCTTTTCATATACAGTCTCTCCAAGTACTGCAGCCCCTCATCTTTCAGTAACTCCAAAGGAAAGTGATGGAGATTTCGGTAATTTAAGAACAAGTTCTTGTGCCTTTCCAGCTTTGCCTCAGAGATTGTTTTACATAGTTCTGATGCCATGACTAATCCTGTTCCAAGCACCACATCTAGTGCATTGCATCTTCTGAAAGCAGACTCATTTCTAGAAGACAAAAAGAGCAAAAAAACCTCCATTATCAAGGTGTATACCATGCATTCTTTTGCAGAAAGAGTTAGTTGTTACATGTTATCTTATAATTTATCTGAACACACTTGTTCCAGTTAATACATAAATAAAATACCCAGAACATTCACACCATAAGATATGTTAAAGCAAGTATTTGACTATTCTCTGGATTAAGTTTTAGTGTCTTTTCAGACTGGGAATAACAAGATCTTAATGTATACACAATGCTTTTTTTCCAATCCATTTTCCATGGACCTTTCAGATATTTTTGTCAAAGATGCCACCACAAAAAAACCCCAAACAAACAAAAAAACCCACAAAAACCCACCAAAAAACCAACAACCACACCTCTTTCTAGTAACCATTATAACTCTTCTGTGAAGTGTGCTAAAAGAAGAATCCACAGGTAAGAAAAAATGCACAATTTAGTAGAGCACTTCTTATCTTCAGATGACTAAACTGCCTTCCTGTAGCTTTTAAGCCAGAATGACCAAATGCAACCAAAGTTTGTTAAGTTTTCCCATATAAAACTACTGGAGGAATTTATCGGTTGGAAGAGATATTGGGAATGGACAGCCAGTAAGTCCATTTTAAAATAATAAACTAATATATGAGAAATATGAATATTACAGCGAGAAGATTTATAAAGAGCTAGACGTGACAGCAGATTTTCAGCTCTCTTTACTAAAAATAAAACCAGAAAGAACAAAATGTCAAGCTTTAGCTGACAATTTCAAAACCAGAAAAGTAGGAAGACAAATTAAAAATTAACTTCTATCTGAAACCAGACTTTATTTAGCTTGTTTTTAATATATAACCAAAATTCTACTTCTTATTGTGTTGCTACCTAAATCTAGACAACAGCAACATTACATCTTTTCAACTGTCTCAGAAGTCAGGAGAACATAACAAATCCAGACTATTTATTAAAGTTACCAGTTTGCTACAGACTTGTGTGTATAAATTCGTTTCCATTAACAAAAAGCCAGGAATCGTAACTGCTTTCCACTAATAACATTTTCTATTTTAGTTCATTCCTTTACTGAAGGAGAGATTTCTAATCATAACAGATATTGGAAGTGAAGGTATTGAGTTACAAACAAGAATCCTATCTGATTATACAGTAGTCATTGTAAACAAAACTCCTTACTCAGCTGAAGACTGACAACTGGACCATGCACGTAAATCAAACTACTTTACCAGTTTTAGTGATTCCCTTGATTTGCAGATAAGCAGCTTTTACCAGTGACTTAGGTCCTTCTGGAATAATAAAGTATTTAAGCACTACTAATCACAACTTAGATGAAATATCCTGCACACCTTTTCTAGTCTTGAGTTATCCCCGATACAAGCCATGCTAAGATCAGTTCTGCAAGCAAATTATATAGGATTCTCAGCAGGCTAATAAGATTATAAATTATCAGTCCAACTTTGGTTAAACAGTACTCCATATGAGAAGAACTATCACTGTAACAGTTGCCTTCATTAGCTATCTCACAGAGACACGGTACATGCACTGCTGGCCCTGGGCACTAGAAAAAACACTAAAGCTCCCTTCGTTCAACAGATAAAACAAATCAAGCCACTACAATTCCAAACTCCACATCTGTGATCAGCATTAATAAAACTAAAAGAAAAGCATCAGAATTTTTAACATGCATAGTCTGAGAGTATTTGATAGTACTCAAATACTACAATATAAGAAATGGTAAAGGAAGGTTCACCTCTCCCCAATATATTTTTTTAAATTAAAAGCTGTGAAGTCAAAAAACACATACATAAATATCCAGTAGCCTTCCAATTTACCCAGAGACTTTTTTAGGTCTTCTGCACTTGTGGACTTCTCTTCAGAGTTGTGACTCCATATAACAACTAGACCACATTTAGCCATGGCACACATGAATACACAGACATGCAAGTCTACAGATGCAAAGTCCAGTCATAACCTACTGTATTTTGGCTCTTACTTCAAAGAAAAACCCTCCTACTTCCTCTTACCACCAGCCAAACTTTTCCTCTCTAAATACTCTTTTTCCAGAGATGAGACACAGCACTACCAAAAAGGAACAGATACCATCACGGTCTTTAAGGAAAGGAAAAAGGGAGGATGAGGACAGATACACCCAGTGTCGACCGCCCTGTGAGGAGTCAGGTCCTTCAGGGGAAGGAAAACACGGTTTCACAGAAGATGGAGAAGACAGAAATAAGCCTGCACTGAGCACACGACCGGGAGCAGAGGCTAGGCAAGGGGGTGACGTCGGGAGGCCCAGGGGCCCCCCAGCCCGGCGAGCCGCCTCCAGCCGAGTGGGACTGCTTTGGAGGAGAGATGAAAACTTGGAGGAGCCGCAGGGCATAAGAGAATGAGGCTACGAGGTGAGGCTGCAGAGCCGCCCTGTTTGGTGCTCCTTGGGCCCTGGGAGCTGGGGGAGGCCAGTCTGTCACGGGTGGGTATGGGGGAACCGGCCCGTCCTGGTTGTCCGGGTGCGTGCGTGGGGGCCACCACAGAAGCCTGAAGGC